CGGCAGGGGCATTACCACCTGGCACAGGCATCGCCGGTGGGCAGCTCGGTCCTGCACGAGGTCTCGAGGTGCCTGGGAAACGCTCGCCTCTCTCCAGTGGTTTGGGCTGGAGCTCTCAAAGCATCAGCTACTGCCCGAGGACAGCGGGTGGCTCCACGACCACGCGCTACCGCACTACGCCAGCCCCAGCTCCCACTTACAGTTTAACGAAAGGGTCGGAGTATCCGTTGGCATCCATGGCTGCTAAATGCACGCAGCGTACGATGCCGACAATCAAGCCGCCCTGCTGGGTGCTGTACATGAGGGACACGAGGATCTTCCCGCGCTCCTCCACGTCCCCACCGCGATCTACCTGCAAGAGGAAGCGACCGGAGATGGGGACACAGGGGCTGAGCGAGGAAGATGGTCAACTGCGGAGCAGAGCAGGCAAGACGGACACAAGGGAACCTTGCATCCCCGTGAGGAGGGGTAAGGAAAAAGGGGCTTGTATATGAGAGCTGGTGGGTGAAACACGCACGGAGCACGTTGTCTTCCAAAGACTCTTACCTCCTCTTCGTACAGTGCCATCCCTCGGGATGAGCCGGTCGTTCCGGCACGCTTCATCTTGGATGGGGAAGGGAAAAAAGAGAGACTGGCGTGAGAGAACGCAGCTGGGAGAGGCACCGTCCTACGGGAAAAACACCCCCGGGAGCCCAGCCCAGCTCTTTCGCTGGCCTCTGGAGCGGAAGGGAGCTCAGGTACCTTCATCTGCTCCACCAACCTCCACCTCGGCGGACTCAGCACCTCACCCACAGCAGCGGAGAGCAGAGCTCAGGGATGGAGCCACCTGCCCCCTCCTCCACGGTGACATACATCTGCATGGGCTGGCAACGCCAGCAGACCCGCGGCCACCGGGGAGGTCCCTGGCGTCACTTCCCCTGGATTCCCACCACGCTCTTATCTGCCGGTCTTGACATGTCACATCAGCCCAGACCCGGGTGGGAATCCAACTCCGACAGATGCCGGTGGAGTCAGGCACCTGCAGCCCTCGCCTGGCTGCAGCTCCGAGCTCACCGCGAGCTCCCTCACACGCCATTTGTTAGCAACCCCAACGCTAATGGTAGCGGAAAGAAATTTCACAGAAACTCACTGGTATTACTCTCTCCAAGCAGATGTTGAAGTTCTTCTTCTGATTGGCTTTGAGTTTTTTCAGGGAAACTCTAGTTTCTCCAATAAACTCGTTGTGGCCAAATTTGTCTTCATCACACACGGAGATCCTGAAGGGAAGAGGAAAGGTGAACGTCAGCCGGGCGGGAGCAGTACCTGACTCAGGAGCACGAAACCGCTCCTGCAAAGGGCAAAGCCATCGAAGCCTCCATCCGTCTGGCTCCCCTCTGACCCAAAGCAGTCAGAAAACCAGACTTCTGCTTTGCCAGAAAAATCAACACTTCCACCCAACGCGTGCTCTGCGATGGGGCAAGAAATCAAGAGGTGGAAACTTCCTGCAGGAAGGAAATGCCGAAAATTTTAGCGACATCTAAATTGTCGTGCATAGACGTGCCATAGGCAAATCTCTACGCTGATAAGAATAATAGTAATGCCAATAACTTAATATTAAATGTCAGGGTCAAACTGCTTTTCTTTCTCCTTTTAAAAAGGACTATAAAAATCAGCACGTTCACGTGCAGGATGTGGACTTTGACCAAAAACTCTGCACTTCCCGGTGCTCTATCAACACCCGCGCTTCGCTGCCGGTGCCCTGCTGAGGAGGGCTGGCTCGCGACGCCCCGTGCCAGGAGACCCAGCGTCCCCGTCCCACCGCGCCGCAGGACGCCCCAGCTCCTCTGCTTGCCTGAGCGTTTTCCTTTGCATGTCCTCGTCTGTGATGCCGTGGTACACCAGGGTCTCGTTCCACACGGGGTTACGGGTGTTGCGCAGAGTCTTCGTTCTCAGCTTATTTGACTACGGCATCAAACCGAAACACAGCGTCGTTACACCCCTGAGCTCCCCACCTACGCTTCGGCTCCTGGCAGAGGAGTGTAAAGTAGACGCTCCATCACCTCTGGCTTACAAGAGGTGGCGTGTGAGCCGTCACCTCCCGGTGAGCATCGCCGGCCTGACAAGGTGGACCTTTACGCAAGCACCGGGGACTCGGTTGCCCACAGTGGCCAGGGCAGCCTTCGCCGCCCAGCTCTCTTCGCCGTCTGGGGTCTACTCCCTCCAGGACACTTGTACAAGAAAAAGTTGCACAGGGCAGGTTGCGCGGGGCTCGGGTAACGGCTCTCGTGCTCTAAAGGGGTGACAGCTTGGGAAACGAGGAACTCTGCCGCTTGTTCACGGGTCTTTCGCAAACGCAAGCGCGAAATAAAAAAATTAAAAGGAAGATCAGCAAAGAGGAGAGCAACAGAAATCAAAGCAATTCCCAAGGTCACACCACCCTGACTTACTCTGCACAAGACCAGAAAGTCGCCACACGTAAAATAAACCTGCAAATATCAAGCCAATGTCTTTGTTTTCTTTTAATCCGTCTTCCCCCTTGTTTTATACTTAGTTCCCCTGAGCAAAACTCTGCTGCAGGAAAGAGCTTTGCAGCCCCCGAGCAAGGAGCCGGCACCTCTTGGGCATCGGGCCGGCGGTGGTCATCCCTTCCTCGAAGGCTTCCCCTCCGAGATCAGCTTAGCTGGGCTGCGGAGGGAGATTTCCAGAGTTTTCCTGGATGGAGGGGGGGGTTTACTCAGAGTTGATTTAACAGGTATCTCTTCACAGCTGTAATGAGAAGGTGCTGCAGCTTCACAGCAAACAGATCTTTCAAACACCGGTAACAACTAGATTTTGTCTCAGATGTTTTGCGACGCATTAACGACGTCACCTCCTCTGCAGCTCCCCTCCAGCCCTAAGCAGATCCCTGCCTGCAGGACGAGCTGCTCCTCGGGTGTGGGAGGGCACCTGCGAGCATCCCGGTAAAACGGCAGCGCCCAGCGACTGCCGGGGAAATCAGGGGGAGGAAGTCTGACACGAGGAAGGGATCTCAGGGGGGCTTCGAGAACCCTCTGCTCTGTCCCCCAGCCCCACGCCAGGCAAAGCCTCACCTTGCTGGCTCCAGGCAAGAGGTGCAGTTTGACGTAGGGATCCGCCAGGCCGTTTGAGTCCATTGGTTTTAAGCCCTAAAAGATAATAAAGAAAAGATGGTGCAAGAATCCTCCTTAAGCAGAGCCAGGGAAGAGAAAATGCTACCCGTGAAGCGACTCAGTAAAGAGAAAATGTCTTCAGCCAGCCAAGAACCTCGTTCTCTGCCCCGAGCAGGGGTGGGTGCCACGGTCACAGGAGAGTTTGGGTTGGAAGGGACCTTTAAAGGTTGTCCAGTCCAACCCCCTGCCATGAGCAGGGACATCTTCAACCGGAGCAGGGTGCTCAGAGCCCCGACCAACCTGACCTGGGATGTTCCCAGGGATGGGGCATCCACCACCTCTCTGGGCAACCTGGGCCAGCGTTTCACCACCACCCTTCCTTATACCTGGTCTAAATCTGCCTTCTTTTAGTTTAAAACCATTACCCCTCGCTGAAGCATCAGACCTGCTCAAGGAAAAGCCCCCCCAGACCTCCCCAGCCAGGAGCTCTGCCAGCGGCCGCAAGGCTTCCACCCCCTCCCAGCGGC